TACCCTCTAAATAAAATGTTTTGTCCTCTAGACAGAATTGCTCTGACAATACAAACTCATCGTTCTATTTAATCTGTCAGGTCATGGCCCCAGAGATTATGATGAGCTGTCTCTCAAAGCCCCACTGTGCTACAATACAACATCTCTTGGATAAATCACAAGCTCCTCACCCAAAAAACAGGGACTTTGCTACAGCTCTAGGGTGTATTTTCTTGTTTCTAATAGTTTCTTTCACTGACGGGAATATAATTGCACAGGGGAGCATCAGTCATATGTCACTCTTTTGTTCATTTTTGGCCAAGGTGTAACCATACAGCAGCAATCTATAGCTTTTAGACACCTAAAATAAACTGTAATGATTGAAAGGGATTAATCTGAAACTAGAATTTTGCAGGTAGAAATTTATTCTGTATTAGCTGAAGGATATCTACACATTAATTATTCTTTTACTAATTCAAATAGAAATAGTAGTACTGCAAGGGGAACAAATATTTGTTTCATCATTTGCACAAATAATATTTATAAATAGATGAATGAGCAAACTATTTGTGTAAACACTCTCTAAAGAACACAGGGTATGACCAACCTTGCAGCCAAGTTATACATAGGAGATTTTGGACCTCAAATATTACATTAAGAGTATATTGTTTTCCCCTCCTATTTAACACACATGTCCTTTCAAAGTACACAAAAGCTGCTGGTTGAATTTAGAAATAAGTAAGTCCCAGCCTCTCTGTTGCACTTGCAGATGCACAGACTGTATGCAAAAATCCTTACACTGAAGTTGCTGTGTAACTAAGCATCATTTTTATTCCTGCTTTTGCCTATCACTGTCTCACTATCACAGATATCTGCTAGAACAGTAGGTGAAGAACTGGTACCTTCAGTAATTTTGAGTAAAAATGCACATGTAGAGCTGCTAATCCAACTTAACAAGCAAAACCGTGTTGCTCCAAGACCTTTCCTCAAAAATCTACTTTGAACTTAAAAGTATAAAAATAAAATATGCCACAGTCCTCTGGCATTTCTACACAACTGCCTGTCTCCTTATTTTCTTTATTTGCATTTTGCTCTTTCAAGATGTCTGCTGGCATTTTCTGATTAACACCTTTGGAGATTACAGTACCACCACAGTGCTTTCATATTCTACTTCAGGTCTCTTCTCTTTATACTTAAAACAGAGACTAGCATTAAGTGAATGCAACCTTTGATTATAAAGCTCCCACACTACTGACATGAAAAATACCTCACTATTGCCCAAGAAATCTAGAGGGAGAAAAGTGAACAGTTTGGAGACTCCACATTAATGTGAGAACAGTGTCTCTTAATGGACTATCTGCTATTATAATCACTGCAGGCTTTGGTACAGGAGTCACAGGGAGATTCTATTCCTCAACAACTTCTTTTTCAGATGTTCCTTGGCAAAACTGCAAAAAAATAATATGCAGCTACCTGGGCAGCCCCTCTTTCTGTTTTGTTAAAGACATTGGCACAAGGATGGATTTGGTATTAAATACAGGATGCAATACTGGAGAGAAGAACAACTATTCCATTTAATTTCCCTACACTGATGAAAAGGTTAATCATAAAGTTGAAATATCAAGTTGGATATTTTTTTGTTGTTTACTCACTGATCAACAGGAACACCAGGCAGCTGAATAAAAAACCCAACTTGCCCCCTACTCCCTTCAATTAACATTTACAAAAAGGAAAATCTGAGAGCGTTCAGCAGCCAAATCTCAGCAATTATTAAAAAGCATAACACAAATAATCTATCAAATCATATATTGCTAAAGAAAGAACTAATGCTGGAACATGTTAAATGGCAAAACAAGTTCCATTCAAACAAGTATTGTGGAATGCCAGCAACAATGTATTGTAATAAGTTGCTATAATTAGTAATACAAACCTCAAAATAACTGCATCCTCCCAGTTTTCCTATATTCTGGATATGATAAAAATCTCTTTTTTTCCCTCCAGTGTAACTAAAATGGTAATTCAAAGCCGATTTAGGATCAAAGAGAGCCTCAAGGTTATAAATAGTTGTAGCTGGCTGTGAAGTATTCTCATCAAAATTTCTTGGAAGTGGATGCCCTGCTACAAGGGTAGTACACTTGAAGGAACCAAACTACAATAAGATATTTTCTGAAAGAATTATAGACAGGAAAAAAAAAAAAAACTTTGAGGAAGAAAAGAAAAAAAAATGCTTTGCCACAGGATCTAAGTGCTGTTAGCTGAAAATTATTATAAAATGGGACATTTAATGTATCTGGAAAAAAAAAAATCCGCACCAGAAAACCGACCCCAACATCATTAATGAGCAAATATTGATTGCCATTGAGAAGTCCAAAATACTTGAGTAATTCTTTATTCTTTCTATCCAGTGTTTTCACAGGACACAAGCAATTACAACAGCTTTGTTTTTTATCCACGATTGGCAAAAATCCTGGTTTATAATTCCTCTAGGTACCTACTTCAATATTTGCATTTATATTTAAATTATTTTCTTCTATTTTTCAATAGTTTCAAAACCAATCTACTTTAAGTTTTTAAAGTAGTTCCACAAATATGCCATTTTGGAAGTGTTCTTTTATGCATTATATGAGGCAGCAAAGCAAGACAGAAGGAGTGGAAACTTCTAGAGACAAAAGAAGCTGCCCGACCAATCCTTTCCTCAACTGACCTCCAAGGTGGTTTGTGGACCAATCCCAGAGCCTAAATAACTCTGGGACTGAAACCAAGTTCCAAACTGAACTGATCCCATTTAGGGATACTAAAGATACAAACTAAGAATTCCCAGGCAGAAGAAAGGTATGAAATAACAATTCTGCATAAACCATGAGCTCTTCAATTACCTGAATCTCAACAAAAACCTCCCTAGAGAACGGGGCTTTGCATTGCTGAAATTTATGTTAAATTTTCCTTAAGTGTAATTTCCATCTCATGAGAAGCTGTACTAACACACCCTGTCAATGTGCAGTATGCAAAAAAAATCCCCGTGGATCACTACAGTATATTCGAATTCAGTTGTTTGGGGCATATCTTCTGCATTGCATCTACCTCTTTTTAATACATTTATTATTAAAAAACCCTAGTAGTATAGCTATTTATTCCCAATTGTTGCCCTCTTGAGCAATCAGACCAATTCATTTAGGGATCTAAAGGAACAAGCATAATGAATACAATTTAAGGGATGGCCTATGCTACAAACATCACATTTCGAGTTGTTTTTCTCCCCTTGTTATCAGTGCTGAATAATTAAGGCATGCACAAAATCTGAGTCCATAGCTGAAAAGTGCACTTGAATATTTGAGACCTGCTTAGAGACTGATGACCTTTCAGGAGAGAAAGTGAGAGATCAGATCCAACAACTTGCTCACAGGTTATGATGCATTAGCATTACAAATTCCAGAGCCTTTGGGATCACGGGGGCTGGCACTCATTGGGATAAGATGATGGGGCAACATACAATGACAAAATTAAAAAGTCAGGTGACAGGATTATGATTTTAATCAGTGTAACTGTTTCTCTAGCTTTCTGACTGTATTTTGCCTTGGTTAATTTTCTCCGATTTGACAACTGCTTTTCCCAGTATAATCAGTTTAAATATTTCAGCCTTCCAACACAACATTTTGCCTGGCTGTGCCGTGTGCGGGCTGCAGATTTTTCCTCTGGCAGTTCTACATAACCTGCATGTGTGAGCAATCCTGTGATCACCTGTAACTATCACACTTGTCTCCCCAAAACCAAACAGTGAAATCACAGAAGTGACATCCTTGGGTGTTACTATGTCAAAGCTCAGAACTAAGAAATACGTCTCTCAGTGCATCTCTGACTTGCAAGTGGAAAGGGAAGCTACAGGCACACACAACTCCTCATGTCACCAGTTTATATGTGCCATGATCTTCAGCTGACAAGATCATTTTTTGCTGTGAAAAAGAACCATATTGTAAAACACATCACTAAACACCTAGGGAAATAAATAAATTAGAAGTGCTAGTGTAGCCACAGGAAGAAAGAAAACTCCTCCTCAGTCATACCTTACAACAGCAGACTACAAACCAGTGAGGCATGGTCAGGAACTTACCACCTCAGCAATACAGTAACAGCAATCAGTGCAAGCACTTGAAAAGACTCCTGATTACATCCTATGTCTCTAATTTTCAACAAGGAGCCAAAGCACTGAGAATAACATATACATTTTTATTTTCCCAAATAATAAGACTTCCTGGTAAAAGAAGCCCAAGATGGGAGCAGACAGCTGCGAGTGTCAGTAGGAATCTCAAAAACCCAGGACTACAGGCTGGGCTGTAATACAACAGATATTGTTTATTCTGCAAAGCACAGAATTATCACCAAGGCTCAGGAGGTAGATCAATGGATTAGAAGGAACCTTACAGTCATCACAATGTCCTCTCTTCTCAAAAAACAATCTCCCCTAGTGCTTTAGGCATAAGTTTTGTTTTCAGCGTAGGAACAGAAGTTACAGGTGTATATATACAAGTATGCATACAGAAGTGTGCATTTATATACACAGTCTTAAAGCTTTGGACATAATAACATTCCACCAAAGAATCCCAAAACAACCATTACACTTGAAACCCTTTTGAAATTCACACAGTCAATGAGTGTATATACAAACCACAGCCAAACTAGACGGAAATTATTTCAGAAATAAAGTGCACAAGCACCTGAAAACGAACATCAAATATATTTTTAACAGAGAAGTAAACTAAATACTTGAGAGGATGTGGCAAAAAAAGTAGGAACAGCTAAAGGCGCTAGTCACGTTGACTTCTCAGAGAGGACAGAGAAAAACTCATGAAAAATAACCAGAACAAAGAAAATTATGGATATTTAACCAGCAAAATTAACAGAGAGTGCTGCAGGTGCTGAGAGAAATAATGTAGACTATAGAATTCACAAGGTCTTTGGATGAGCAAGAAACATTTTTCAGAAACTTTGTTTACAATACACCTGCTGTCATTTGTAACCATTACCTTAGAGGAGACTTTCAGCAGGGGATAAACTCTGAAAACACTTCACGGAGAGGTGTTTGGACTTCTCTGTTGAATCTGAAAAACAGAAAATCACTAGTTAAAGCCATCAGCTTATGACACAGAGGTAGTACTGGCAAAAGTGACAGAAAATATCCGTATAAGAAATCTGCCCACTGAACAGAGAATGTGTCAAGGAGAGAGGTGGATTAGTGGCTTTATCTCAGAAGTGACAGATTTCTGCATTTCAGAAGTGCCATGCTGGAGTGGGTGATGGAGGGACTTACATGATCAAGAAGAACCTGTGGTTCACCAATAGCCAAGGGTTTTGATTTGATCTAAACTCTTTTGTAAAATCCTGAGATTAACCCCATACAGCCATTTCCCCCCTTTGAATTTCAGGAAGATGTATTTCAGGGAGGTTGCACAACACTGGAAATATATATATATATCCAAATAACATAACCTGAGGACAGGTTGGAAAAAAGTACAACATAAAGGTTTTGAACCTTCCTCCTACACCTCCCCACCCACCCAAGGAATAAAAAGCACTTTCAGGCAGTAATAAACTTTGTGGGATGTGCAGCTGGAAGGTGGCATATTCTATTCATTTATCATTTATAGACAGACCATCAGGAAGTCATTACAGTGTGAAGATTGGATCTCTGCACAATCGTGGTGTAATTGAGCTCTGCTGTACACAAATATTGTAGATAATAACACATAAAAAGGTTTGCAGTATTGGAGTTGTTCTTTTCCTGAGTTACGGTGTTAGGTTCAATCCAGACAGAAGAAATAAAGAAATGAAAGTTTTCCCAAAACTTCAATAGATTTTGATGGAGTAGAACTTATTTTGTTTACTTTTTTTAGTATTAAAATTAGAAAGCTTTGAAGCCTAGCTCTGATTCCAGCTTGTTTGTGGCTATGACCTGAACCTCTCCTCTATCTGACAGGAGAGTGGACTACTATCAGGAAATAAGGAAGCAGAAGGGAAGGTGGAAAAGCAGTCAACCTGGTTTAATGGACACATCTCAATTCACAGGTCAGAAGTGCCCACACCGCTTTTAAGTCAGCACCACTGCCCTGACGACACTTTTAAGCTGCTTCTTGCAGCATCAGGATCACCGTGGATGACAGACTTGCTGCAGGCTAAATTCCAGGAATATGCAGAGATCCTGTAATGGTTACAGATACTTCAATATCTCATGTCTGTTTTGGCAGGGGATAATATTAGCACTATTGAGATAAGGCTACAGTAGTGCTGTTTGAAAATATCTGTATCCTGCCTGCTGGGCTGTGATAAACAGTCGTGTGTTTCACACATTAGGTGGGAGCATTAACAGTCCCCGTGCAGGCACTTGGAAGCAGAAGGAAGACACAAACAGGTCTGTGGTGTGCTGGGAGTAGGAGCAATGCTGCCCAGGTGAACTTGTACTGCTCAACTCCTATCTCACTTCAGGATCTTATAAGCTCAACTCAACTGTTACTGGGCTTAGGTTCTGATTAGAAAATATGATAAAGATTTGAAGAGAAGAGGCAGAAAGCAAAAATTCAGCACAGCAGAGTGGAGCCAAATGAAGGCCACATAGATAGATTTACTCTGTGACAGAAGAGGGACAGATAGAAATACTCCCTAAAGCACGAATACCACATTTTCGTTCTACCTACAGCATCAACATTACACAACCCACTTTGAAGAGTTTTTGTTTCTAATACACACCAAAGAATTCTCCTCTCCTACAAAAGGCACTTTTGTTTCAGTGACTTTTTGAAGAGAGGAGAATACTCAGTAATTGCTTAAGGTTTAAAAAAAGGAGGTAGAAAAGTAATCTGCGTTCAGAACGGTTTTGCTATGCCCACAACTAAACAGCTTTACAAAACTCCACCATGCTGTATGCTCCACCCTTTCTTTCTCCTTACAGTTGTTCACTCTGTCCCCATGATTAAATACTACCCCCAAAGTTTCCAACCATTCTTCTCTACCTTTTGGAAGGACAGCTTTTTATTTATGAGTGTCTGCCAAACTGAGTGCACAGGTCAGATAACATCAAAGTTCTGAGCCATTAGGATTTGTTTCAGACACAGAAGGAACAACAGCGAAATTTCTAAAATGAATTAAAGTTCTGGAAATCTTACTCCCCAGTAATTTGGGGCCAAAGAGTTGCAGCCCAGGCTACTTTGGAATTATTTTTTAAGAACAGTTATAATAGGTTCTCATGGGTTTGTAGTCATGGAGAATTGCTCCCATCACTTCAGTTGAGCGGAACTGCTTAAGAATTATTGGAAGAAAATAGAAAGAACATTTCCTTCACAATGCTCTCTCTACAAACAATAAGGGTAACTACCTGAAAGCAATTTCCTTTCCTACACTATGTCTTAATATTAACATAATCATAAACACTTAAGACAGCATTCCCCTCACATCTCCATTATTAATCTCTTAAAGCTGAGTTATGAACAACATAAAACATTAATGCATCATGTCCTAATAATTGTTGTCTTATTAGAACATTTGCCCCATATGCCTTGTTAGATGGTTTGTGCTCATAAGGAAGATAAGTTTCCATTTACCAGAAGATATTAAAAAAAAACCCCAGCAACCAAACCAAAACAATACACCCTGTCAATACTACTTCCATCAACAGCATTTTCATATATTAATAAAAAATTAATGAAGCAGACAAAATGTAGTAATCTGGTTAAATATTAATTTTATACTTCCTAATTTTTTTGAGAGCCTGTCTGCTGAACTTTGAGCAGTACTTACTGACAGCACCTGAGCCCCCATCCTGCCCCCTCAGAGCAGCTCTCTGTACTCACACAAGAGCAGAGTGATCCCACTGACCCTGGTGAGAACCACCTACAGCCCCAGCCATGGCACTCAACAGCTGCCAACCAGAGAGCAATAAAGCCATGGCACCAACAACTCCAACATCTGCTCTGCACACACTGCTAAATAGCTGTTCTCGTGGCAAACAGTCCTGCAAATGGAAAGTACTCCCTCAGAATCAAAGAAATGCAGCCAAGTCCTCATCAGCCACTGAGATGGTTAAAAAACACCCCTAAAGGAGGTGGGAGAGTCCTCAATCACACATGAAACTTCTGTCCTCTGGACTTCTAGCATGTGGTTTATTTCATTACAGTAATATGGTAAATTTGCATGTTTTTAGGTTCAATTGTGTGATATTTAGTTGGATAAACGCACCAGTACATTCAGGTCAGAGGAATGAGGGTTATTTTTCAGTTTGTGCTTCCTGCCTAAACATCACAATTGCTTGCTCTTTAATTTTGAAGTTTGCAGTCAGCAGACAGTGATCCTACAAGAGAGATTGATCTCTCAACAAACTTGGACCAGTCAGGAAAACACGGTTGAAGGAGGGTTTAAAAGATAATAGCCTTTCTGACTACAAACAAATTTCCCATCAAAGCAATTCCTAACAGGAATTTCATTAGCAGAAGCTGAGCCCTCAGCCACAGTGAGGGTACCAATGCCTATAAGTACATTTCTCAAGAGAGGAATGGTGTGATGGCTGGGCCAGAGAACCTGGATGCACAGGTCTGTGCATTCTAATTCCATCTCTGTCACCGGCTTGGTGATCATGAGCAAGTCACAAAGTGTTTGCTTCAATTCCTTCATCTGTATAATGGCAATGATATCTAATTCAGAGGGTTGCTGTGAGGATTAATTAGTTAATGTTGGTAAGTGCTTTGAAGATGAAAAGAGCTACAGAAGAGATAATCAGTTTTACAGTCTCTAAAAGCTTTTACCATGTCTGCAGAATTATTTTGGAGTACCACATGAATATCATCTGAGAGGATCTGTCATTTATCACGTACATCCAGAAGAAGGGAGGGGGTGGGGGTTGGAAGGAGCAGGTGTGCAAATGTTTCAGTGTTAAATCACGTATCCTGTTCTGAAATCTGCAGAGAAACAGCACAAAGCTCAAACTTCCTCGGTACAATCTACCTGTGTGTTGCTACCACTTTCTTAAGGAAAAAAACACCAAATGTCTTTGTTGATTTAACTCTTCCCTTCTGCTTGATTTGAAATTTTGAAACCACAGTGACTCTTAGGATTCTTTTCTGTGTACCTGTATACTTTGGCTTTTTCTCGGTATACATATCATAAAGGACTATGAGATAACTCATTATCTGAAGAAATGTGTGTAAGGTAGAATATACATATATTTTGCTTTGGAAGACTTTTTTGATTGCCTAGAAAGTCTTCAATATGTACATCCCAGCTGCATTTCCTGCCTTAATTTATTTGCATTTACAATAATCAAAATGGAAGTCTGTAATGAAATAGGGTTTTCTTAAACTTTGCTAAGTCAGCCAGGATACAGAATCATAAATGGTTGAAAAATTTCAGAATTTAAGAAAAAATAAAAATATCTGTACTAACTCTACCTTACTCAGATATTTTCATACCCACATAAGAACAGCTATATCTCCTCTTTCATTTTTAAGTAGACCAGTTTCCATAAATTATTCTCAGCACAGACCATTAAAAGAATGTCAACCTGTATATATGGAACTGCTTCACAGCTTGTGTGTTTTCCTGGATAAACTGCTTCCAAGTATCATAATTATGTACAGCATTTTGATTAAGAACATATTCCTGAATACACATTTTTCAAATAATCCCCAGGAAAAAAAAATTATTTAGTCTTAAAAATGCTCTCTAAATACAAGACAGCAAGACCAGTACAGATAACTGATGTATTAGAGTGCAAAAGTGACAGATATATAGATATATATATATACACATCTGTGCTTTATTCCAAGGTAAATGCAATGCTGACTGCTTCACATAAAATTTCTGCAACAATCAAATACCAAGCTTCACTAAGTCATATTTTCCTCTTTAAAAAACAATGTCCAGTGGTTGTCCTACTGATTCTCAGTAGTTAGAGTACCATTAACACATGATGAGACAATTCATATCCAACATTGCTGGGCAATGAAATATATTTTGCTGCTGCTTATGATCATTATATTTTGCTCACAGCCCTTCTCCTGCCTTATGTCAAATGTCAACATTGACAGGGTTGAAGGGAAAAAAAGCAAATATTTCA